GATGGGTCCTCGTACACGGGTGTTGGGTGCTCCTCCGCATGGGGTCCCCTTCCGGGTTGATATACCCTCCCGGGCTGAACCGTCACACCTGACTGAGTGGCCATCCCTGGCTGTGCTGCCATCCCTGGCTGTGCTGCCATCCCTGGCTGATAATACTGAACTGGCGGGTACCTCGCAGATCCCGGCGCAAATGGAGACATCTCCTGCAGCCTTTGAATCTTCTGCTGCGTAGTTTGCACTGGGGGCTGTGTCACCCGCTGTCCAGCCTGCCCCATTGTATAAGGCCTCACCGGTTGTCTTGGCGCCAATTCAGGGTGAGCCACTGGACGAACCGGTTGAGAGGGACCTGTTTGTATCGATGGTCCCGGGGGCATTTGAGTTGGTCCCTCTTCGGGGACTTTGCGGCCAGTTCTTTGGATGGCCTGCCACTCCGTGGCTGCTTCTTGACCCTCTGGCATGTATATACCCAGTGCTGACTGCTGAGCATCAAAGAGGCCTCGCAGTTTCACCGGTATACGTTGGAGGGCGTCCCATGGGACTTGTGCACGATAGGGGGCATGACCCCCACGGGGATGATAATACCCCTTAAAGTACACCCCTCCATGAGGGTCGTGGAATGCACCCAATGTATCCCAGAATCCCCTCCTGTCCTGGATGACAGGGTATGTATTACTGGGGTTGGTCTGGGTGCCTCGTGCGGCTCCTTTGCCCGACCACGTTGTTCAGCCGCCATTTGCTGGGCACGGCGTTCCTGGTAGCCAGGTCCTGGTAATGCCGGTTTGTACTGCAATTCCTGCCGTCCCTTTGAGGCCCGCTTTGCCTCTTGCAGTTCCATATATGCTGCATAGTCTTCATTCCCCATCAAGGAATGAAGCTGAGCAGCTTTCTCTGCATCCGCTTTTGCTCGCTGCAAAGCGGCTTCCTGCTTCTGCAGGACCTCATATGTCTCCCGTCTCTCCGGGGGAATGGGACTGGCAGGTTCACCTGCTGAACTGAGATACACAACATCGTCGTTACCCGCAGAATCAACGATGTTTGCACGGTTACGCAATTTGGTGTTCTCAACAGGTTGCAGCAAGGGCAATTCGACAGGAATGTCACCTGTGGTTGGCCTTTGCAGGCCTTGGGATCTCCCCTTAGCCTTTTCAGGCTGATCTCTCGCCTTCATAGGCGGGTCTTTCTCCTTGCCGGGCGATTCCTTCGCCTTGGGAACGCTGGTCTCCACAACCGACGGCGATGCCTGTTTCGGTTGGGTAGGGACAAAGCGGGCAGGGTGGTTTACACCACTGTCACTGCCGCTACTGTCCTGCTGATCGGCCCAGCGTTTGGAGGTCCCCTCCTTCTTGGCAATGTGGGCAAAGGCCTTAGCCTGCTCGGCCGACTCCAGCTCATCGACCGGCGGCTTAACCTCTAGGCGCTGCGCCTTTTGGCTGCCTCCTGCGGAGAAAAACCGCTTGATCTCAGCCTTGCGCTGGCGTTTGTGAGCTCGTTTACGCTCATATTTTTCGGGATTCAATTGGCGATCCCATTCACACCGCATTGCTTTCAGCTCTCGTCGCTGGTTAGCCTTTCTGGCCTTTTGTTCGTCCAACTTCTTGGCACGAGCAAACCGATCTCGGTTACGAATGCGTCGTCTTTCTTTCTCCATTCTGTGCACTTGTGCTCGGGTGGACATGTCTCCCGGCATTGGAGATGCACAAGATGAGAACGACAACTCCGAGATCTCCTCCCACCGTTCGTGGGGATCATTGGGGTCCGGTCTCTCTGGACTCCCATCGCTCAAGTCCCATGGTTCTGGGATGTGCCTGAGCGCAAAGGCCATTTTTCTGGCCAATTTGGGTCCTCTTTGGCAATTTGATCTGCCATTCCAGGACCATACCACCTTTGAATTCGTACCAGTCGGGCGGTGGTCAACCTTTCTCCAAACTGGTCGGCGGCCATTCGCCACCCCTCGTCAAGCTCATCGACGAGATCACTGTGGAACTTTGTCCACATTGCACGGCACGGTGGTTGCCGGCTATACGGATCTCGAGTGTCTAGAACAAATTCCAGCACTCTTGAGCTTTCACCAGGTCCCCATTCAGGCAGTGTAGGCCTCCTGGGGCTCCAGTTGTGGCCTCCCGGCCTTGGCGGACTTTTTCCGCATACTGCTTGAGCGCTTTCTGTAAGCGACTCATCTCCCGTCCCGTCCGATCCACTAGGTGTTCTCACATGCACCTGGGACTTGAGCCGTAGCTCCGGGATCTTGACCTTCCGGCCTTGTATTCTCTCAATTCGCCCTAAGGCTTTGGCCTCCCGGCTTTGATATGGAGATTTCTCGCTTTCCATCGGCCGCTCACCTGGCGATGGACTCTTCCGCTTGGGGCGCTGCTTGCCAGCAACCTTCCAGTCTTCCTCTGGAATGGTTGGCATGGGCAGCTCTGACGGACTAGGGGCCCTCACAGCCGGCACCACCTGTTGGGCGCTTCTCTCTTCTGCCTCCTGGGCCCGCTGCTTTTGCTTCAGGAGGCGGTCACTCAACGCCTTGACCTGGTCTTCGGCGGAGGTTTTGGCTTCTTGTGCCTCGCGGCTCTGCTGCTTCGCCTTCTTCATGGCCAGCTCTTTTTCTCGAGCTTCTTTCTTGGCCTTGTTGACGGCGATCTCCAGCGAGGCGATCCTCTCGGCGGTCTCTTCCTCCCGCTTCGCTCTCGCCTTCTGGGCCGCAGCATCCGCCACTTGCTCCAAGAGCTCCATGATACCAGGGGTCTGCAGCAGCGCCGCTATGGCTCCCTGATCTTGCTCTTGCTTCTTCTCCGCCGCCGGTGGGGCACTCGCTTCCCCCATTGGTTCATCTTCCTCTACGGGTGGCGGAGTGGCTGTGGAGGGTTCAGCCGTGTCCTCCCGGACTTTTTCACCTCCTTGCCCATCCCGGGCTTTAACCTCACCAACCGAAGTCGGTGTCCCCTCCCGGGGTGTGTCAACCTCTCCCGACGTGTCGGGGGTGCCCTTGCGGGCAGAACTGTCTGATTCCTCGGCCTCCATGGTGGAGGCCGGGGAGGGAGCCCGTTGCTCCGCGCTTGCGCGTCCGCCCAGGCAGAAGCGTGGTAGCCACCCTCAGGTGGCTCCGAAACCAAATGATACGAAAAGTCTGTGGGTGTGGGGCGCCTACCCTCTTTGAGCCTCAGACCCGCCTCGCCAGGCACCTAGGTCCTTACGGGGACCTAGGCGGGACCACCCCTCCTACTCCCATATCCTTATAAGTATAAGGGTTACCGTAGGACAAGGAATACAATACGATCTTGGGTAGGGCGTCCCCCACACCAAGGGCCAGTAGTAGGGCGTCCCCCACATCAGGCCGGTGCGCGTAACATTTTGACCCTTATAAATATGTCTTTCACTCTGTCTTTTCTTATGACGCCTTCTACATGCCTTCCCACTTTCTTAGATCAAGGCAGGTCTATCAACTTGCTTTCCTCGCTTTTCTAGCAATGTTGTGCGGTTGTTCATGTCAATGCTAATTTGGTCTATGGTGTTGTGACACCCAGTCAGCCGCCATGTGCTAGTCATAAGCCAGTCATTGGGTGACATGGCTTTATGACTAATGGCAAATTTAACAAACATTTGCCAGCACTAGTCCTTTGACTCCGGTATCTACACAATGGGACATGAACGTATTCAACTCCAAACAAGGAGTTTGCTCGATTGAAACCTTGGATTCGCATCATGTGGATCGCACCTCACGCTTTACATTCTCCCTTCCGCTGATTGGTAAGGAGATGGTACTTCTCCAAGAATTGCAAAGTTCCTTGATTGGTTCTTTTGGACAAGATCATCGACAAATTGGACTTCGCCGTCTTCACGCACCAATTGGACTTCGCCGTCTTCACGTCTTCATGCACCAAAACGGTTCCGATAGGGCAGCGTTCGTCCCAAGGTACGCCTCCAAACCGCATTTCAGACTTGACTTCCCGAGAATCCGGCGAAGGTCGTCGCACATTGGACGGGCGGGTGCCCAGCAGATGCAACAGATGGAAACTCCAACAGTGAGATCCCAAAAGCGTCCCTGGGACCCCTCCCGGCCCGCGCCCGACCCGAACCCACCCACCCCTCTGCTTTACGCAGTACTCTGCCCGGCGTGCCGGACACCCGAATTCCCTGCCATCCCAATTCCTCCCCGCCAATCACCTCTCGGGCTCGGGCATGAGCCGCTTATTAAGGCCCTCCCCAGTACATCACTCAGAAATCGCCCCAGTGGCGGACGTATGGCCCTTGGGTGATACTTTGTCGCGTCATCAGTCTTCCCGGGCCCGGCGTGCGGACGGCGCCTGCGGGCAGGCATGGGGGGTACAAAGCCGCCGGTGTGCGCAGAGCGTGGCTCGATAAACAGGAGAGGGGGGATGGTCCGCGTGTTCTGCGAGGCGTGCAGGCAGGGCCCCGCAACGGTGTGCTTGGTCGGATCCCGGGAGGAGGCGGCGCTGTGCGCGGCGTGCGAGGAGGGTAAGGGGCTGGACAGGCTGGCGGGCGGCGGGCCCTGCTGCAGGGGCGGCGGAGTCGGCGGAGGGGGAGCCGGCAGGGGCGAGGCCGGCGTGCGGAGGATATCTCTGGAGGGAGGAAAGACGGAGGGAGGGGGGCAAAAGCTCCTTTGCGAGGCGTGCAAGGTTGGGGGGTTGTCTCCATGTGCTTGCGTGCGTGGGGTGGTGGGTGTGGAGGTTGTGGTGCGTGCCGTGAAAATGCTATGAATGATTTTTTTCGGGGCGACCGGGGGCGGCGGGCGCGGGGGAAGGGCGGGGGGGCGCGTGGGGGCGGAGGGGGATTGGCGGGAGGGGCCGGCGGGGCCGTATTGTGCTGCAGGGCGCCAGGGGCGAGATTTGCGGCTGGGGTGGGCCTGGGGTGGTGTGGGTGGATTGGCGCGAGAGGAACGGGAGTGGCCGGGAGCCTGTTTTGCGTTATGCGCCCGCCGCGCGCCGGGGAGCGCCACTCCACACGGCGGCTACTGGGATTGCGCTGGCTGCCGGAGGCGAATGTCGTGTTGCCTAAGAGCGTGTGTGGTGACGTGTGTGCCGCAGGTCGCGCCCGCAAAGGTGTTCTCGGCAGCGGCGCGACAGGTGGGTGGGTGCGCATTGCGCCAGGGCCGCTCCCCAATTTTTCTCCGGGCCGTCGGCTGGCCGCGGTGACCGGGCCGCGCCCGCGGGACCCCGCCGGGTGCCCCCGGGGTCGGTGCGGGCCCGCACGCCGGCTGCAGCGAGCTGGACGTCTATTGTAGCGCGTGGAATTTTGGTCAGAGGCCTGACTGCTGCGCCGCTCCCCGCGCTGGCTAGTCGCTGGATTGGGCTCCCGATGCGGCGGTTGCGCCCGGCGCTGGACCGCCAGATCGGCACAGCCGCTTGTGGTGCTCTGCTGCCCAGCCCATGTCCCTCACATAGCCCGCCGCTTCCCCCGCTCAATTTCTTTCAAAGAGGGGCGAGGGGCCGAAAACTGCGCTGCCACCGCGCGGTTGCCCGGCCCGGTGTGGCGCCCCTGAGTTTGCCGGCATTTCCGCCCGCAGCCCGCCGCCTTAACCCATATACTACCCCAACTCCGTGGGGGGTCACGCGCCCCGCCCTTGGGGCCCCAATGCCCATCTGATAGCTCGTGTGGCGTCACCATGCCCAGGTTTATTGCTGGAGGTGCGACGAGGCGGCGCATGGAGGGGAGTCCGGGAGCGCGTGCCCTAGATACCTGATTCTAGGTGAGCCAAACGTCGTGGCAACCCACCCAGAAGCCACAGCCACCGTCACCGGCCCACATTTCGCCTTGTCCCCTGCCCCCGACCGATCGACCAATCCCCCCCTTCGCAATTTTCTTCTGGTTCCCCCGCCTACCAGTGTTCCCACGCGCCGGCCGCTCCCCCCTTCGCTCGTCGATTGTTTTTTTTCGCCACCGACAGCTCATGCTGACCCACCCCCCGCGCGTGTTTGCCGCAGACTCGCCGCTCCCGGCTGTCGGCCAGCGCGACTCGGCGCAGCGGGCGGCCAACGAGATGTGCGCAAGCGGCATGCCCGGCGGCGAGGTCTTTGCCAGCTGGCCCTCGGATTCGGAGGAGTCCCTGCTGGTGGAGTTCACGCAGGGCCTGGCACCGGGGATCGCCACGGACCCGGAGCTGATGCAGCTGGAGTGGCTGTCCGGCGGCGGCCTGCTCAAGCCGCCCAAGCACTGGGGGGACGACAAGTCGGACGACCTGGCCGGGAGTGGCACGGACAGTTTCCCAACCGGTGCGCCGCGATGCGCGCCGCGCTGTGGGCTGTGCCGTTGGGCGGCTGCCGTTGAATGGGCTGGGTTGGCGTTGCGATCGCTGGCTGTGCGCCACCTGGCGGAGCGCCGGTGGTGGATTTAGGATCCAGCGGATCCAACAAGTAGTTGCGATCCCGGGGTGTGGTTGGCGACTGCTGGTGACGTGAACGGGGAGTCCAGGGTTCGTGATTGCCGGGTCGGGGTTCGGCGGGTTGTTTTGCTGGCCTCTGCCGATCGGGCCGTGCTGCCAGATTTGGAGCAAACGTCGTGATCCGCGCCAGATGTTTGCGTTTAGCTTGGGTGCAAGTGCCTGCAGATCCTGCCCGTTGAACGTTGCTCCAAGATCTGCCTTGTGTCCTGTGTTTGGAGCCAATGCAGGGGTGAGGCGGTCTTGGCAGAGAATTGAGTTGAGCTTTCTTCACGCGTCCTTTCTTCGCCCTTCATTGAAGTGTGCTGCAGAGATCGGCTCCCTGCACCACAGTCCATGTTATTGATGCTGGTAGTGCTTGTGTGTGCTCAGGTCCAAGCGCCTCAAGTCTGGACGGAAGCTTTGGGCTGATGATGCAGAACTCAGTGGACAACCCGTCACTGATGATGCAACCATCAGAAGAGCTTGCGGACTCACCAGGGGCAGTCAATAGCTGGCCGTTGAGGACGCCGGCCAACACACCAGCAGCCCCCAATGGAAGATCGCTGGGGCAGCTGGTGGGGAACTGCCTGGGGCCTTTGCCATTTGGGGTCGACCTGGTGGCCCAGAAGATGCCTGGCCTTGTGCCTGGGGTGAGTGGAATCCTGCCTGCCTGGGGGTCTTGAAAGCATGCCAAGCATGCCAGCCAGTGGCGCTTTGTCCAGCCTTTGTTGTTGCCAGGAAACGCCTTGCTGCCGTGGATGTTGATGTTCAGTGTGCTTTCCAAATCATGTGGCACTCGTGCTGTAGAGCAAGGCGCAACAGATAGGGGGCAGTTCTTCTGAGCTCTCTATGTGCTGTGCCCGCTGCCATTCTTTTGCCTTTGATTTGCCCCCTGGACCGATTGTGGCATGGTGCTGTGCAGGCACCATATGGTATGGTCCCGGTGACCCCGCGTCACCGCAGGCACTACTCGCTTGACTGCTTGGACCCGATGGAGGACCCCAGGAGGCACACCCGCAAGCGGCGGCTGGCAAGGGGGAATCCCCTTGGCGTGCGAAGCCGTGCAGGGCCGATGCCTGGTGAGCTGGAGGTTGCTACGGCTCACCTCAGGCGTGAGCTGGGTGGTGCACCATGTGTGAGTCCTCAGAGGCGCTGCACGCACTGTGGCGCCTCGAAGACTCCACAATGGCGTGCCGGGCCGTTTGGCCAGAAGACCCTTTGCAACGCATGTGGAGTCAAGTGAGTGGCATTGCACCTTTGGGTTCGTCAAGTTGATAGGGGTGAAGTCACGTGGCTGTGTGCCAACCCCTCTGCATGGGATCTGCTTCTCTGCCATCTGGGTTGCTGCGCATTGACGTGGTTGTTCTGTTGGCATGTGCAGACAGCGTACTTGTGGGTGCAAGGCTTGTCACACAACCCGCCATTCTTGTCTCGTTGATTGCTGATGCCTGGGCGTTATGTTGCTAAATCACCGTAGAGATGACCCGTTCTTGCCACTGTCTTTTCTGGGAAGCAACCAAGAGTATTGTGGCTATCAGGGCGTCCACTCAGCATCTTGAATAGGTCTTTCATGTATCGGCATCTTACCTTTTGTGTTGTGCTCCCAAGGTTCAAGGCTGGACGCCTGAACCCTTGTGGGTCTCCGACAGCTCGTGGTCGTCGCGTGGGGCAGCTCTCCTCACAGCGGAAGTCGATGATGGTGGTGGATGGGGTTGGCCCCTGACGTTGGTCATTGGTGGGACCCGCGCGGTCGTTTAGTGGTGGGCAATTGTAGGTGTACGTATGAATGAAGGTGGCAGTCATGGGCCTGCATGGTGGAGGGTTAGGAGACTGTTGACCGCAGGGAATATGGTGGATGATGTACGTGTGAGGGGGCGGTCACGGTCGCAGGAGCAGCCCATACGTGTAGTTTGTTCACGTCGAACGTGTAAGCAAGGTGGTAGGTGTATGTGTGTGTTGGAGCACACCGTGGGGGAAGCTTGCATGTTGTGGTTGCACAAGTTATCGCTTCAATTGTACAAGGACAGGACAATCGAGGGAAGCTTGGGAAGTTTGGTATCATCATGTTAGTTTGCTGTGGTCTTCCGTTGTTGTGTTGGGCAGGCGCAGTGTGGCAGTCAGTACAGGTCCTACTTTCATTGATTGGGGGAATTTTTAGCGGAATATGGGATCCTCAGCTATGGCTTGCTGTGAAGGAGGACTGCCAGGAAGACGTGAGGTGCCTTGGAGCCTGATGGGTGCGGGTGGACCTAAATATAGGCTTCACTCCCGGCATCAAGGAAAAAAAGGGAAAAGGAAAAAAAATCAGGAATGTATGGTATACAAGTGTTGGACGAGGGGGAAAACATCGGCGAAGGTAGCGAGTTTTCTCCTCTCAAGAGTTTTGATGATCTGGAAAGATGTTTGTCTTTACCAGGGTAGCTATATTCTCATCTTGGCGAAGTTGGGTCCCCCTCCAGCAGGGTTGCAATGCTATGGGGATGCGCTGTTCCAGTTCTGCGTGGGGTTTTAATTTGGTGGGGACACCTGGGGATTGTTTGCATGCCATGCACGGCCAGTGTTGGACCGCCGCGCACGGTATCCGAGTGGGAGCTCTTCTGCACTGCGTTTTGCACTGACAAGAGGAGGCATGGACAGAGGACACACGGATGGTTTGACACACACGTGTGCGCAGCGTGCCATTGCCACTGGCACCAGGTTGTGCGGCAGCGCTGTGGGCAGACCAGGAATTCAGGAAGCGCTTTGTTGGCGGCTTCATGGTTGGTTGACGAGGTCAGCTAGATGACCTTCCGTCGCTTTGATTGCGCGTTTGTGTACAGGAGGCGGGTTGCATGGAGGTGTGGATTGTGGGGTGCTGATGGATGAATGCAACGTTTAGTGCTCATTCTCGTGGGACAGTGTCGAGGGCGCCTTCGACGCGCGATGCGATTTGTATGTGGCCTGGGACGCACATGTAGTTTTCTCCCATGGAGGGAGAATAACTTAGTTGGAATCAGTGGGCTGCGACTTGTCTGCGGTGGTGGAAGCTGGGGCGCCTTAGGAGTTCTGCTCTTTTCAAAGGCGCATGGAACGCGGTGGATTGAAATGTCCAGTATTCGTCATTCGATCCAACGTTCATGACTGCACTGCCAACGCGCTTGCGCTGGCAGTAGCAGTTGACGCACCGTGCAACGGCGACAGATTGTGAAACACGACACCATTCAGAGCTGTGGAGATGATGCCCAACGATATGAATCGACTACATCCGCTGACAGCAGCGACTTCTGTCAACCGTCCAATAGTGGGCGTTCGTATGCCGTGGAACCAGTGATCTTCTCAACGAGGCACCCACACCCCCAGCTGCTCCTCCGCAATCCTCACCAAGGTGACTGTGCGGGCCTCCAAATGGCCTCACGAGCTAACCTACAATCCGACCAAAAACCCCAGTACATCCCACGCAGACAACCACGGAGTCTGGGCGCCGAACTGCTGCACAGAGCAAGAAATGTTTGGGCGTGCAGATTCGATGCCCGGCATCACCCACGCCTGCGGCCTGCTGCACCAGGCATTCAGCCCCTGTGCCGCCCTCAGACACCCACCCAGTCCTGATGGCCTACAGACACAAATAGAATTAAACTGACACCGGAAGGCAACAACGCCCTCTGCTTGTGCTCCGATAGATGTGCACCTCAAAGTCAACAGTACCTGCACAGTACGCTTTGCCCATACCCTACTGCTGCAGTTATGCAGGTTTTTTTCCCCGCTCCACAAGATTCCCTCCGGAGGCTCCCCTTCTCCCGTCTGGCAGGTTTAGCTCTGGCAGGACGGGCAGCAGCCCACGCGGGTTTTAAGAGCTGGAGCCTGCCAGGCCAGCAGCTTTGCGCAGCTGCATCGACATCAGCAATACCAGATACATTCGCACCCAGCTGAAGCGTTGGAAAAGGAAAAGGAAGTTCAGCGACCAACCACCTGGAAACGGCAGAAGCAACGCGGTCAGTACAGAGGGCCCGAAAGCGGGACAGAGATGTCCCAAACGCGCCTGCAGGGGCGCCGTGGCACAGCAAGACCAGGTGGAACCGAATGACTTGTGCACGAGCGCCATGGGCAAGATAAAGTGCCCATCGCGTTTGTGCATGGTGTCCTGCATCGTCAACACTTGTGAAGGAGGATTGGCTAAGCTACTTCCTGGCCACCTCCACGATCATCATCAACTTTTACGGAACAAGGCAGTGAGGTAGCCGTCAGCTTTCTATTTTGCCTGAGCAAAGTAGTGTCTAAGATCAATTCAATGAAATCTAATGTAAAAGAAGATCAAGTCTATGAATTCATTAACTCCTAATGCCAAGAAGCGACTGTTGGTGATTCCCCAGCCACCTTCAGGTCAGCAAAGGGCACACAATCCAGACATTTTTTCCCAGAATGCCCACAGCCCACCCCAACAGCTCATTTGCCCACATACAGGTGACGACGGCCCTCTTTGGCGTGCATGGTGGGGAGGAGCACCCAGCGATTTCAATCAATCGTTTTCAAAGGCAAGCGGGTAGGAAAAGAAAAAAAGACTCATAATGCGGTGTCCAGGGACTGGTTCCTCGTTTTGCAACCGTCATCGTAGTGCGCCCATGTACAGCAACAGGGCAGCCCAAGAGCAGTGAGGGTTCCGAGGCTGACGAGGCTGCTGAGTGGTGCAATGTAAGAACAGAAGGCAGTTCAGCACACCGAAGCGGAACTGGAGCATCGTGCCTACCTGGACAAGGCTGTTGTGGTCGCGGTGCCAGTGACATGTTGGCCAGCAGCGGGAAGCGCACCACAGGGGGACCCCTGAAGATCACGTTGCTGACTTCATGCTCGTAAATCTTGCCATGCCTTGAAACAACAATCAAGGATAGGGTTAGGCCATGCCCTGATCAAACTCCAAAGGCATCTGCACGCCATGGGCCGATGGCTGTTCACCAACAGGACAAAATGACACAGCCTGCAGCTGCTCTTGTGGCAGGACTTGGGAAGACCAAGTCAGACCCAGTAATGCTTTCATGCCTGTCCAGACCAACCCATGTTGCACACTGCTACTATTATTGATGACAGTATCGCAGTGCAATGCTAGTCAAGGCCATCACACTCTCCTCACCTATGATGCATCAGTGGCACGATGAAACTGGCCTCTGACACAGAAACACATGCTTTACAATGCGAACACTGCAATCCAATGGCTACACTTAATCAGCCCACGACAACACCGACATGCCTGACCTTTCAATGTGGAGAACAACTTTGAACCAACAGATCCTCACCCGTCCAGTTTGTAGATAGACACGCCATCAAATATGCCCTCAGCTTCCCAGGGTATCCTGGGGATGCCATGAACGTCCGGCCAGACACTGCCGCAGTATCGCCAACCATGTGCCAGTTGACCGCACCCGGACCATGTAGCTGTGAGCCTTGTGGTGAGGGCACCAGTCCTTGCCCGATGTGCGCAAGTTCAGTGAATTGTCATTGACGACGAATGTAATCAGGGCAGTTTCAAGCCCCTGGTAAACACAATGCAAGCACGATATCCAAAGATTCCAAAAATGCCATTCAGAAGAGTGTTCACCGGGAAGGCGACAGAGTATGAACGTGCCATCAAACCATTGGCTTACGCCACAGCACTTTCAGCCTGTTGGTGGGGAAATGTGACACAGCATCCTTGTCAAGCAAATGCAGAACCCTTCTGGACAAACAGCTGACTTGCCCATGCAACTTGAGCCACACCTTATCTCCTTTTCAGAAACTTGGCACACGCTCTTCACGTCAACAAAAATCCTCTTGAAAAAAATCCTGCCATGCATCCTCAGAGACCAAAATATGATCTTGTAGTTTCTGATGCCATGGAAGCTGTTTCTCGGGTCCTTGAAAACAATGTCGTCTCGGTAGATGTCATCTGCAGATGACACAACCCAAACTCAGCACCAACATCGCACACACCTCTACCAACTTGCTGCGCTCACAAATACAGTGCTGAATCTTTCTCCAATGTTGTGGAGCCAGAGTACATTTTTGCTGCTTCAATGGACGATACTTGTTGCACTTTCGCCACTGCCGCCACTGGCTCCCAGCTCTGCAGAGTGGACAATGGGCCAACCTGTTCTCCCTAGGGAGCTTGCTCCCACGCTTTTGGGACTCCAAATACATCGCAACACTCACATGACTACAAAATTTTGCCGCAGCCAAGCAGAACTCGTGGAGTCAAATCTGTTGCGTTTGTGTCTGCTTCTTGCCTTATTCGACACTTGCTACCAGTGGTTCCTGTAGCGCTGCCAATTGGCAAAGAACCCCAACACGATCTTTTCACAAAGGGGCGCTCCACTGCACACAAGTCTTCTGGATTTAATGATACACGTCAACAGCCACGCAAACAAATTGGCAGCACAAGCACAGCTGCCCAAAAGTAGACTGCAAAGGGCATGGCTGCAGCACTGCCTGCCGCTGTCCATACATATTTCGAAGTTCAAAAAGCATGCTGCTGCTGTGCTGTAAAATCGTCTCTTGGAGTTTGTGCATTCATTCAAACACGATCAATCTCTTGGAATTAGCATCGCCCCGCATTTCCACTCGACATGCCCACATCTCTTTCGTTGGGCTGGGAATGGCACCTCGACTCTTAAGTACCGTGAAGCATTACTTAGTTCAGAAAGGCTAGTGGTGGTTTGGGGGACATTTGCCACGCGAACATCCCTTCAGACAGCTGTCTGAATCTCAGTTCCCTGTGCTTCGATGCTCTGGACGCCGCTGCTCGGGACTTTCAAGCAAACTAAGAGCACAAGAAACTACAAAATACGAGTTGGCAGACCAAAAAGCAAGCGCTGAAACACCTGCAGTCCTGTTGTCGGAACTTCGGAATACTGTGCCCCAGTCCCTCTACCAACCACAGCCCACAGCGAACAGACAAATGCCGTGGGGTAATCGTGGCACGGCGGGGGCGCTTTCCAGCTCACGACCAAGTGCCGCTTTCAGCATACCCGTGCGATGTTTTCGCAGCGGCAAGAGCAGCAAACGCGTCTCAAGGCGGCGCTGCCCACACTCGGCCCGGACACCATTCCCTCCCACCCCATCCCACCAGCAAAAATGACCCACATGCACGCAAGACAACCAACGCTTTAGAACCGCACAAGCCCTTCATCTTCTCCAAGGCACAAGCGCCCAGTCCCGCCTCGCGCACGGAACCGCCACACAGGTGATTCCGCCAACCAGTCGCCGGCCGCGCAGGCCACCCACATGTCAGGTCGCTCTCGAACAGGAACGGGATCTCGCTCCGTATCCTCAGCAGCGCATCGCCCACGTTGGCGTAGAAGTCCGGATCCTCCTGCCCCCCTCCCTGCCCTCCCGGCCCCCCTGCTTGTCCCCTCCCCGCCTCCTCCACCCCAGGCTCTACCACCGCCACGGCCATCGGCAGCGCCGGCCGCCCGATCCCCACAAAAGGCCCCAGGCTCCCTCCTCGGTACACGCCCTCCAAAAACGCCCGCCTGATGTCCCCCCTGGCCGCATCATCAGCATCAAGGCACGACGGCCCAACCCGGGGATCCTCGCCCGAGACCGGGGATGGGCATTCAGCAGCGGCGGACTCGATCTCCGCGGGCAGGGCGGATTGGCCCCGGCGGTGATGGCTAGGCTCGCGCCTGTGAGCCGGCGGCGGCCTTGACGGTAGCCTGGGGCCGCGGGAGAGCCCCGAGAGGGCGTGGCCCGCGTGGCGCGATGTCATGTCCGCGCCCGGGGAGGCTGCCGGGAGCGGCGACGGGATCTTCTGCGCCTGGCGCCGAGATCAGATCGAGCGGGAAGGCGGGAGGGGGCTGCTGCTGCTGCTGCTCGCGCCGCGTCGCAAGGGGGAGTTGCGGAAGGGAGGGCGGGCGGGGGAGGCGCGTGGACGTGGGGTGGGCGGTTTGGCAGCCCTTTGAAGCACATTCGCCGGGGGTGCGCACATCTGGCGGAGCGCCGCATGAGGGGTTGGCGTGGGGTCGGTCCGCATGTACTGGGTGCGAGAGGTGTTGCTGGGGCGGGCTGGGAGCTCCTTTGTTGGTGGTGACCTTGCGTGGCGCCGTGTCCGACTCGCTTTGTGTGGGTTTTGTCGAAGCCCCTGCCTGGTGCAGACCCTCCGCATCTTTCGGGCCCGGGCAAAAAATCTTGAGTAGATCGAACCATGATGGTCGGCCATAAACCCACACGTTAAAGGCATGCCTGCACCTTGAGAAACGTCGTACATAATTTTAAGCGGTAATACTCCGCACAAAACTGCCTCAAAAGCCTTCCGAACTGATGTCGGTTCCACATCGTGTCCGCAACAAGTGATGTAAGATATTTTGCATTTTAACTGACACTACTAATGGTAGTCCCAGGCTTCACTGTGGGCTAGCAACACAAACGTCTTGGGCAAGGACACGCAACATCCAAGTCAAAACTGCGATGCCCCTAAAACCTTGCAGCTTGATACCAATAGCACAGATCAGGGCTAATTCAATTCAATCTGGTGCGAACTTCACTGAGGGGCTGTAGCGCCTTGACCTATTGCTGTCGAGTTGTCTCAGGTTGAGAGCATCAGTAAGCACTAACAAGAAAAGGACCAAGTAACATTCTTGCGAACAAAATAAAACACATTTCATCAAAGTTCTGCACGCCAAGAACACAAAAATTAACCCAAACCCGTAAACTTTGTACACGTTGGAACACGTGTTATTTGGCCCTTTTTTTCCTAGTGAAGGAACCCGCTTGCTTCTCACTTTGACAGTCACAATATATTGTAGTATCACATGTATTGTAATACACGTTGTATTAATTTGCCTGTGAACACGAGCGATATATATCGCTCGTGTTCACAGCCAAATTCTTTAATCTAATACTGCCTTCAACAGACAACGTGGGGGATTTGCATCATTCAGGCGCGTGCGCGATGGCGGGCATGTGCACGTCCAAAAGCATTTCCAATTCCTCATCCGTTTATTTTACCAACGCGCCGTTAGTCTGCAATGCATGCAGACAGCGGCCAAAAAAGTATTCGATTGGCGTCAATATAATACCAATGCATACCACCATGCACCAATGTCTATTTTAGGAAAGCTCCACTGCACATGGCCAAAAAGCGGTGCACATCCCAGTGTGGCAACGCTCCTGATTCTACCAGCCCCCATGTGCACAGCAAACATTGCCAGTCGAACACGCTGCTTCGCCAGGCGTCCATTTCCAAAATCGACAAGTCCATGCACGTCAGATACCAATCTGCAGTTCCGCCGCTCCTTGCTCAGGTTCCCATGAGGATGGGTGTGCAGGCTGCGCCCTGGGACAGTTGTATTTCCATATGTATCCATTTCAAGAGCACGATATATCCTCTGGTTCCCAGATGTGTGATGCAATCTGTTAGCGATTCGTCATACCAGTAGCGCGTCTTTATTAAAAGGTAAACTGTCAGCCAACGTAAGAACATGCACAGTTGCCTCGTTTCGAATCTTTTCATGGGCCATTGCAACCCGCGGTCGGTCGCCCTCCGCTTTAGAGACTGCATAGTCTCGCTCCAGCACTTGGGGTCAATGCATTGCTCATACGAGCAATTGGCCAACTGTGATGTCAGCAGGCGATAAAATAATGAATTGAATGAAACATGCAGGCTTGTTGTTTACGGCATAAACACACACCGTCTTTAAAGCGTCTTTAACGTCGTAAACATGCGCAAACATATGTAAATACAGGCCCCGTGTACATAAAGATAGTATATACAGATTCAAGAAGTCCAGGGAGAGGAAGCCGGATGCGCTGGAATGGGCAGAAAACCAAGACTTATTCGAGAAGATCATTGCCCTTGCCGAGGGGAAGGTGGACGCTGTGTTGGGCGTGCTCGAAGGTGTGGAGGACTGATCACTGGGGGTTCATGATATAACCTAAGCGCCCCAACGTGCTGTAAACACAGCTATAACATAGCCGCTTCTGTGTGTTTATGTTCTTTTAACGTTTAAAGCCGTAAACGGCAAAAGTGAACTTGAACGTAAATAACAAGCCTGGGAATGCAGAGCGCCCACAAGTCCCACGATATATGTTGCAAGAAATGGTGTCCCTGTGAGCTTGGCGCATGTCCTCGGCACATACACCAATTGTTGACACTTGATCGCTTGTCTGCCCCCAACAAAGCCACCGGCACGGCACCCATCGAGCCACCCAGCCTCGGGCTTCTAGTTCAGCGATTAAAATTGCCAATGTCAAAAATGGAAATACCAAAGAGCCGATGAGTAGCACAGCATCTTCCTGGGTTTTAGTTTGCGTTTGTTTGGTATGGAGAGGATGAATGCATAGAACTCATGCAGGGCGCTCACGGTCAGCAGCTCTAGCGGTACAACGTACGATGGCCGCAAGTGATTGCAGATGGCTGCAAGTGATTTCGGAAATTTTGTGCATTTGCGCATCTATCACATTCCTGTATGGAAAAATTGTAGGCAAATGTGTCCTTACTGATGATGCACACTATAGGAGTTGACACATGGACGATTTGGGGAAGCTGATTGAGCTTATTTGCCCATCGAATTGACGCTTGGGGTGTGGTTGCCTAGTACAAGTATGCCATGCCACAGTGTGACGCAAAAACTACACCATTGCATGAGCAGGTGACGCGATATTCAGCTATCGGAATCACTATAATGAGAAGCAGCTGAGGGAGGTCACACACATGCACACTTCGCAATAGCATTTCGTCACAAATGAGAATATTCAGTTGGCAACTGACAGGCTTTCCTGCGGTGCAAAAGGCATCGTGCTGGGAAGTTCTTGGCAGCCTCGCAAGTGTACTTAGTAGTTTCAGGTGGCTCTTGTATGAAGCACTAGAATTTCTGGTTGCATGCACTGCAAGAAGGGCTGGTAAGTTTGCATTAGGGACACTCCGTTAAACAAGGCGAAGAAAACAGGAATGGGCGGACAATACTCACAGCTCGCATACGCAATCCTGCTAGGACTTGTGTAAAATTACCTGCCCTCAGAGTGGCCGTAGCGTGTTGAAAATTTTCCACGATGTAATGCTGTACTAGGCTCTCTGAAGCCTCGGGCAAGAGCCTAGGCCCATCAAATGCATTCCCACGGCGATTTGACCTATTATCCATCGATATACCAAGCCACACAATTACAACTCTTCTCCTCACGCTCGATCCGAGCTGAGCAGGGAAGGCCCTGCAGAATGTCTGGGGAAAATGTGGACATTGCTCCCATGCGCTATGGGTCACAATCCCTTCCAAGACGACTTCGTTCGAAATTTTCGTGCCTGTGCTGTGCAACATCAAAAACGAATTTGAGCCTCGCGCAACGCACCTGTTATGCAAAACAGGACGCACCGAAGGCAGCGGCGGAGGTGCAACCTCTGCCCTCCGTTGCTGTGGTAACGGGCATCAGGGCACGATCCACGACATCGCGTTCGATTTCCACCCCCTGCTTTTGGAAAACAGCCTCACATACACGTTAGTAGGGGGCCCTTGTCTGACCTGTTTCACTTCTGGTAACAAATCTTACCCCCCCCGTGTAGCATGTTGTCCAGTACTTTATACAAGAGGTTGTTTGGTGTCCGACAAACTAGCCACTGGGCCAGGCGCGTGCAAGGATGCTGCTCGACGCCGTGGGACTGAGCCAGAGCGGCCGGCCGGAGCTCGTGCAAGGCGAGGTGGAGAGGCTGATCATTGACAAGGTGTGTGGGGGACGGTGCTTGTCCCATGCGTTGCAACGTCCAGTGATCTGATGGCTGGGGTGATTGCGCACGGGAAAAAGAGGTGCCGGTGAAAGTCTCTGGCACGGGCCTTGGCACCAGTGCGCAGGCTGATGCATAAGGGGATGTGTGTGTAATTCGATTTTGTCCCTCGTGGGACCAGGAGGGCTGGTCGTCCTGCAAAGGGGAGCCCGAAACTTTTCGTGACTGCCGCAGTCGCGCCCTGCTGCGCCGGAGGAAATCTGATTATGACCCGAACGCCTTGATTGTCAACAGAGGCAGCATCAATGGCGGACCTCCGCTCAGAGCGACCGAAATCCGTCGGGTTGGGTGGATGATTGCCTTGCAAAGAAAGGAAAATTGAAAAAATGGCGAAACAAAGGAAAAATGGCGAGCAGTGGGCACGCCGGCTCTGAGCAAGAATTGTGAAAAACGAGACTATTATCAGCGGCGTGAAAGATGGTGAAGGAGTCTCTCGAAGTGTGATAGGAATAGGAGCAACAGAGAATAGCTCGGCAAAAACCAAAAAACATGTGCCCAGAGCATGTACGTGGAGTGGGTGCATAATTCGGTTTGCCCTGAAAGCCCTCTGTTCCCGAGTCGGGCTTGCTTTGTGGCAGGGATGAACCCTGGGGGACACCACCTCCTTGTTCCCATGATTCACTTGCCCTTCAAGCACTCCCTCATCCAATCTGTAGGATTCTTGACTATTTTTCACAGCATCTAAAAGTGTCTCACAAGATTGTCCCTCAAGAGGGATTGTTCATAATGAGACATGCCTTCTTTGTGTTGAAAGATGATCCTCCTGTTTATCGCCCATCAACACCACATGACTTCACACACCCACAACAGCAGCATAAGCCCTGTTGCCAGTCCCATTTTGCACATCCAACCACCTCAAAGCATAAGATTGGCAGAGAAGATCCGTCGCTTATTTGGTGCAGACAAATACATCAGTGTTTCGGAGTAGAGCAGAAAACAGCACAACAGCTTCAGTCTGTTGGTATGTTTCCCTCCTGTGCATGTGGTTGCGCTTCTACTTCACGTAGCTGCTCAGAATAAACCAGTGAGACCACAGCCCTTGACCACCTGCAAAGTGCCAGAGCTGGCTGTACCCTGTGAATGAATAGCACCATGGGAATTCCAGCACCCTATCTGCCAGATTATCTTGCAGGTGAAGGTGACCTTGTGCTGTGATGTCTGCACATTTGGTACGTAGGTGGACCTCAGCTTCGAGGGACGTGGCGGTGTGGTGGGCAGCACATCGGACAAATACACTGTAGGTGCCCTGTAGCCAGTGAAATGGCCCAATGCATTGACAAATGTGCTACTCTCAGCAACTCCGTGCCGGCTTCAGTCCTGTGTGTTTACAGTGTCACTGTGCTGTTTTGAAGAGCTTTGGACTTTGCTCATAAACATCTCAATGTTGATATGTGTCCATTGCTGTTCTTTGTTTTTGCACCAGTGCTGAATTGCGGCCCATGCACTGTTCGTGTTGAAGAGAGTGTGTTGAAGTTCTTGGACTACTTTTGTTGAGAAAAAGGGAAATGCAGCTCTTGCACCTGCAATAGGACGTGAGGCATAAATCGGCGTGCAGATTGTCCAAACTATGATTGTTGCAAATTGCTGTAATTTGAACATCCTCATTCAACAAGGTGCAGACGGTGCTGTGTGGTGAGGTCCTATGTGGTGAGAAGACGCACAGTGATGGGGCAAGCGCACCTGCGGTCCTCCCTATCTCTCTTTGATATACCTCTTTGGCTGGCTTCAGGGTGGATATGCAGTTCTCACATCCCATCGAGTGCTGTGGATCGATGCTGCCGCTTCCCCATCGGCAGGGTTGTCATGCTTTGTGCCTCTCAGTGCAATCCACAGTACAGAGGTGTCAAAATACTCCTGGGCAAAAAAAGCACCCAAGCTGAAATTGAGCACCTATGAGTCTGAGGATGGCCGACCTGCAGCAGGTACATGTTCTTGCTTGATTCATCGCTGAGGTGCCAGCATTGTGCCACATCCATGTTGATAGATTAAGTCATAGTACACTGAACTCTATGCAGCAGATAAAACACAGTACAGCACACCACATGTCACCCCCACTCCAAAAAGTGTCAAGATGCCAGCCCCTTTTAGTGCTAAGATGCCATATTGCAACTGTGCCATCCCACTGTCCTTGAAATCTGTGTTGATGAACACTTTGTTTCTGCACATGTCGACAGGCAAGTTCGTGTGATTATATCAATCTTGGCTATTTCTGCCTGATAATGCCATGGAGTCCTTGCACACATGCAGCAGGAAATCAATGGACTGTGTGTCTGCTGGTTGTCTTCAGGAAATGGATAGCAAAACATCGTCTCCTGTCCATCAACGGCTGTTGTCCATGCACTCTTTCTTGGCTATTTCTTACCACATCAGCAGCATCAACTCTTGTTACATTGCAGTGGCCTTGAGCCTTGCAGTAACAACAGGCACAAATCAACTCATGGAATTTTTCAAGTGTCAATATTCATTTTCATGCATTCCGTCATTTATTCATTCAACCCCATGCTTGCCACAAGCACTTAGTCGGCTTTGGCCTTGCGACAGGTGGGATGGGTGCTGTTCGGGTGGGCAAAGTCTCCCTGGTATGCCATGGAGGCATCACAGAGAAGATCCGTGAGCAGCTGGATCTGGCCTTGCAGCAGAAGGCCTGGAGGCAGTCGGAGGCTTCAGTGTCTGGCCAAACGCATGACAGAGTGGACGGCAGCCGAGCTGCATCAGCATCTGCAGCGGGCCCAAGGAGCCATCCTGGAGTGAATGTTGAGTTCCTGGAGCAGCTGGTGTCCATGGTGTGTGCTTGCCTTGTTTTGCATTGTTCAGTGCACATAGGCAGTGAGACGATGTTCGCATGTTTGGTGATTGTCCCAATGAGAATTCAACAGCAAGTAGTTTACATGCTTTGATTCCACAAGCACTGAGAGCTTCTTCTGCCCTGGGTATGATGGCAGCCAAGGCCGAGTTAGAAAACTTGTTGCATCAGTTTTTGTCACTTGAATGAAAACAATTGATAAACGTGGTTTGAGCAGCCTGTGGAACCAAGACCTTAGCAACCTTATTATGTGATAAATGGCAGTTGTGCATTTATGCTTGAATGTTGTGTTGTTTGGTTGGCTTTGTAATTTGTGATTACTTGTTGTTCTTCATTTCGTATATCCCCACCAATGGTTCTTGAAGCGCTGTTGAATTCGGATCACTGCTAGGCTATCCATCCAGTACCAGAACGCAGATCTGAAATTTTGGCCAGCAAGTTCTAATTCTCTGTTGTCCTTCGAAGGGGTTCAGCCACAACCGTGCTATTCGTGCAATCCTTGCAACACACAACACCAGCGTGGCTGCTGCCCTCGACCACATTTTTGCTTTCTACCATGACCCCACACTCGACTACGAATTGGATGGTGACAGTGCTGGTTGGGTGCTGGTCAACAGCTCAAATGCTGACGACTCGCTTCAGACTGTAAGGCCTCCTGTAGGGAGTGCAGGGGTGATGGGGATCATGAGGAAGCAGGAGGAGCAAGCAAAAGAGGCCACAAAGTAGGGTAACCGAACTTGCCTTTTCATTGCCCACAGAGACGACAGGAACACCATATGTTGTGTGACACTGAAATGGAACTTGTGCTATTGGCTCCAAATAATAACCCGACATTAGGGCAAGCCAGCAAGCTATCTTGTGTGGGAATGGAGTATATGTTTAGAATCAATGGAGTCGAATTCCCTATGAGTTTGTCGATGCTCACAATGCTATTGGATAGATTGATCTTCTATTCAAGTGAGGGTCAACGTAGGTCGGGAAAGACTGGAATTGGGGTCTGGCATCCAGGTGGTCCCAGTTGGTTACGGAATGGTGAAGCGATTCCAACTTGGAGGATGGCCTTGCACATCCCTGTGAAGAGCGATGCTGCAAAAAAATATCATAGACAAACATTAACGTTTGACACCCTGGTGCAATTCTGTTCAGAAACATATCAGCATGTGACAAACTGCTACCCTTTAACCTACTTGGCAGTGCCAGATAGATGCTTGCAGTTCAACACCTTCTGCCACTCCCCGCTAGTGCTGTTGTGCATCCGCGACTAGCGGTGCACTCCAGTGTGGGACTTCTCACTGCAACTGTAAGCCGACTTGCACTCCGCTGTTCCTAATACTCGAGGCTGGAATCGGTGCAAGAAGACGGACCTTTGCATCTACCTGGCCTTGAAGCATCTGACCCATCAAGGCTCAAAGTGGAGTTATTGACACATCTGCTGCTGAACCGGCAGTATGGTGTGCGGGGACGTCATATACTGTGACAGCAATAAGACATGGACCGAATACTGTCCTCAGGAGCAGGGTTGGGATCAACGAGCTATCATTGACACCAGAAATCCAGCATCTTTGCCAATGGCTTGACTATTGCCACATCCTGCAGTTGGAGGTTGGGAAGATTTGGCTGCTCCTGGTTCTGTTCCTGTTGAGATTTTCGTGTGGTCCTGCTGGGGCATTTGCATCCGCTTTTGGTTGACATCTGACGAATGAACAAAGACACAAACGGCATGGATTCATGTAATCGTTGTATATTAGCCTTTGGTCCGTCCAGAGGACAGACATTTCCCATGGTGTTTTTGGTTGTTAAGGGCCTCAGTACAGAGATGAACAGAATCCCGGGGCACGTGCAAAGTGTTTTTCTGTCCACAGTAATCCCAGTGTTGCGACACTGGTCGCTGATACGTCATGTTATCTGTATGCCAATTTGGATTTTGATGATGGCGTCACGTGGTCCGGGTTTTGTTGGCCCACTGACTGTTCTCATTGAATGGTATGCTGGCTGGTCGACTGATTGATTCAATGACTGGAGTGGAATGTTTTGGCCTGTGCAGATCCCTGCAGACTGCGTTCCAGGACCTCGAGGCGCTGATGGGTATGGCGCACACGATGGTTGGGCTAGCTGAGAAGTTTCACAGCAAGTTGAGGGGCGCGGGCACAACGAGCGATGACGAGCTCATGGACGAAGAGACGATGAGCGAGCTGATACGAATGGGCATCGCAAGCCCCGTCACAAAAGAATCCGCAGGTGTGGCCGCCCTGAAGCACATCGCCTGCACTGCCGTGGCCTCATACACATCATCAGCACTGGTGTTTGGCACCCTCCATTTCCCGGCACGAAGGCCGTAAAAGTCATGCAGATAGTTTTTGGGTTCATGGCGTTTAAGTCGTAGGGCTCAGCACTCTCGCACCCGTCATGGCCTTCATGGCCATGTTATCCGGGGATGATAGGTATCAGACAAACCTCAGCACCTCTGCCCTTGTCCACAATGTTGGGCCGACTCCACACACGTGGGCCCTGCTGCCCAAACGTCCTCTGAGATTGAATGGAGGCACCACTGGGGGCGGGCTGGTGCCCGATCCGCTCCTGTTCTAAATATTCACCGTGTGCTACTGGAAATGTGCATCGAACTAAAAACAAGAATTTGGACCTGAGAAAATGAATGTCGAAAAACTTATTAAAGGAGGGCCAGGAACCGATGTAGCTGTGGTAGCTTACCGAACTTAAAGCTCAAGAGCCCGCACATTGTTCATTTACTGTTTGTTACTAGCTCACTCATCTGTCTGGTTAGTTTCCTGTCCACTGTTTAGATTTACGCCATTTGATCTACATATGCGTATTTTCCATGTCTGTCTCGGCTTGTTCATTCATTCGTTTACGCTTTGCTATTGCATCATTCATTGATTTGCTTAGTGCCTTGTTCACTATTCAGATTTACCTCAATTGAACTGCTCTTGCTCATTTCCACGTCTGCCTTTGCTTGCTTATTAATTCATTTAGAATTTGCTACGGACTCATTCATTGATTTGCTTGGTCCCCTGTTCACCATTCAGCCATGCGCTGATTGACTTATTTTGGCTCACCTTCCATGTCTGCCTTTGGTCGTCCATTCATTGACGACCAATCGATTGCGCCCTGCAGGCGCCCGGTACCACCAGGAGCTCGCCCGCCAGCTGTCCGACTTTCTTCTGGCGCCCCTCGAGCGCGCCGGCGGCATGATGACCCTCACGGACGTCTACTCCCTCTTCAACCGCGCCCGGGGCACCGCCCTCATATCCCCCGACGACCTCCTCCAGGCCTCGGGCCTGTTCCCCAGCCTGGGCCTGTCCCTGCGCTTGCACACCTTCGCCAGCGGCGTGATCGTCATCCAGTCGCTCAGCCACAGCGACAGCAAGGTGGCGGAGACGATCGGCGGGCTGGTGGCCGATGACGCGAAGTGCCAGGCGCCCATCAGCGCCTCGGACGTGGCCAAGGCCATGAAGGTGCCCGTGACCATCGCCCAGGAGCACCTGCTCACTGCGGAGCAGCACAGGGTGCTGTGCCGCGACGACGGGCCCGAGGGCCTCAGGTTCTTCAGGAACTTTTTCTGGGACGCGGCTGGATAGGACGCCGGGGCCGGGTGTGTGTTGATGGCGGTCGTTGCAGGGTGTGTAGACAGTTGAATGCCATGCCGCTGTCGTGTGCAGGCTTGTAAGCCTTGAATTGCTGTTGAGTTACTGTTGAAGTGTGGATGGCAAAGAGGATGACCGGACCGGGGATCGAACCGGGCGCCTCCGATGCGATGCCCCACCGGTCTACGAAGCCGCCTGGCTAGGGGTAGGGAAGAGGGTAGTCCTACACCTTAAGTACCCTTACACCCAGAAAAAAATTGGTCAACTGGCTGCGTGTGTTCTATTCGCGAGGTGGCAAAGCTCAATGTGCCCAGATGCGGCTGCCTCCACAGCCTGCAGCCGCTCCTGGCTCCTTGCCAGCCACTAAATCCAACGATGGCCACGAACAAGGCGATCCATGGCGATCCATGGCGATTCAGGGCTTAGGCCGACATCTGCAGACTATCAGAATTGCTAATAAACGCGATTCGTGGTTTGTCCTACTGGTATGGGCCCTCACTCGTCATTGCTTGTATTTGTCTGAAGATGACAGCGCGCCCACTGGGTGATGTCGGGCAGGGAGCAGACTCGCTTTTCAAGGCATTTGTGCTCTGTATTCCTCTGTGAACATGCATGAATATGAATTCGCTGTATTCAAGCGTAGAGGTGCCGTAATTTCTTGTGAGGCGTAATTTAACTTAGAACATGACCTACGCATCAGTGCGCCTTCAATACCGATTGCAATAAGTCAATTGACGGCATGGACACACACCCTCTCAGGATAGCAATGTTTCAACAATAGAGATATGGCAGCGGGGTCAGGCTGAGCATCGCCTCAATGCATGTTACGGGTACTGCATGGGAGCCATTGCATCAACGGGGACCCACAACTGATTCCAAGCGCAGGCTTGCACCTGGAATGCACTTCGCACATCCTTTGTAGTTGCGTCGGTGAAAGTTCGGGGAATGCAACTATGGATGTACCGTGGATCACGGAGGATAGCACCCCTCCCCCCCGCGTTCCACATCAGGGCTGACGTCAGGAATGCGGGGTCCGCTATCATGCCTGCCCCCACGCTATCTTCCATGGCCCCCGCCTTCCGCATCAGCACACTTACTCAGTAGCGCCCCCACCCCCCCCACCTCCACCCCTTCCCCCGCGTTATCACGCTGGCCAGCGTACCGGCAGCAAAGCGTACCGGGGCCCCATCAACTTAGCACATTACATAAGGCGCCAGAAGAAGTGGTGGGACGCCACAGGTCGCTGCATTGTGCCGCGCCACCCGCTTGACAGATTGATTGGCAATGTGGACCGGCGCCTGGCCAATATAGCATACTACATAACATTACATAAGGCGTCAATCACGGCGCCAATCAATAACAGCTATTGGGACGTTGCACTGCGCTGGAGACAGCCTGGAGATCCAGATGACCTTGATTTGAGTGATGCAGTGTGTACGGAGCTGGATACTGACATTCTGGAGGGCATGGTGTTTGATTGAAGGAGGAATGTCATGGCAATGTTTAGTTGGATTGGACTTGATAACATTGGGGCGATAGTACATGCAATGAGATGTAAGAATGCGTGAAAATGCTTCTGCATTGTGGTAGTACGTGATATTGAAGTGAATAGTGCCCTCCTTCGTTATCTTGCATAACCCCCCGCACTCCGTATCACCGGCCATGTTTGATAATGCCGGGGTCCTGCCCAAAGGCCCCCGCACTATTGAGCAAGCCCAGGGCTATCCTCCGTGATCTGCGGCACATAGTGTTCTGTGGACGCAAACACAGGAATTTGCAACGATATTTTGAGCACCACTTCTAGAATATTGATGCAGGGTTGATGCAGCGTGCGTATTATGCATGCTGTGCTGATACAGAATGCACCAACGCTGTTTTTAGGCACACTAGAATTTGACGACACTTTAAACGATTCTGTATCAAGGCACATGAGCAGCGGTGAGGAAATTTTGAGATTCGCATCTTCTGTTGTTAGCTTTGATGCATGAAGGTAACAAATCCACATGATGTTGGCGTGTGTATGTGCAGCAGCAACGCCAAATTGCTGCAGTTTCGTTCGGTGTTGCAGCATTGATAATGCGTCGACTCTGTTGCATAAACTTCCACTTAAAATCCCATACATATGACTATTTTGCAGAAGATAGACACTGCAGTGGCGAGAACCCTCTTGTTTCACACACGTGCTTCCCGCCTCTGAAATAATGTCGTCGCCTGCACTGTGTACAATCGTGGTCAAAAGTACACCATATCGTGCATCATGTATGGGTTGAATGGGAACCATAGCAGGTGGCCAGATTAGGATTTTTGTTGTCGCTCTCCAGCGGTATTGTGCTCGCTGCAATCGCCGGTAGTACACCGCCTCACTGCTGGCGGGAGTTTTCGATATCCGAATTCAATGCCGGGATCTGGCTTATGAATATGTCTTTCAAAATATGGCGCCCTCGCTCGTGGCAGCGGAGCAAAATTAGGGCAGCCCACTGGCTGTGATGGGGTGCTCCATTGTATGCGGTGGTTTTGCTGCTGTGATCACGTGATGGGCTCGCCTGTGTCTGCCTCGATGCCTGATTCCTCTTTCCGGATTGCAATATGACCAGATGGGTTTGTGAGGCATTGTCGGGATTTGGCTACCCTTGACGTGCGGCGTGTCAGCAGATGCAGCGTGC